GCATATACTGAATGGAACCTGTTTGGGTTTTTTTACTGAGACTAGTCCTGCTGATCCAGGAGTTGTTATTCCAGCCAAAGTATCTCTCTGATTTACAACCAGCTTGCAGTTCAGCTTCTCCTTTTGTCTTCTAGAATACCTATATCTCGGTGAAATATTCAGAATGTCAAGGTTTTTATTTCATGTTTACCTCTGAAAATAGAGAGGTTCATTTTCTAGAAACACTCCCGTTTTTCCCTAACTTTATTTGTAGGAGATGCTCAGGGTCTTGTAGGATCAGACAGAAGAAAAACTGAAGTTTTAGCACCTTCTGGTATTTGCTGCTCCTCTCAGCTGTAAAGCTAGTAGTTAGCTTTCTGTCATAGCATTCCTAACATTGTATGTCCCTTACCCATCAGAATGGTGCTGGAAACAGGTTAATACATTCTTAAATGACCAACCAACATCAGGTTCCCCTCACCACTTTTTTCCTACTTCTATAACCTTCGTGAAAATGGTACACGCTTTATCTTGTAGTCCTCTGCAGCTTTTGTGACTACACCCTTCCCAGGATACATCTGCTTCCATCTGAATCAGTAATGGGTCCTGTGAAGTGAGTTGCAAGATCTTGGGATCTGTTTCTTCTTTGGCATGGCCAGTTTAATATGACACCCTCCAGGTACCCTCTTTAGAGGCAGACTTGACCAACCTCTGAAGTCAAATCAGTTTGCGTTTTCTAGTAGCCTCCTTTGAGCTCCTGATATGATCTTTGTGCTGCTCCTGCTGCCTGTGCTGTCTCCTCAGAAGTAACCTCACGCGGTCTTAAAATTGGTAGCAAGTAAGTGGAGATACTTAATGATTGAAGTACTGAGAAAATATTATTGTTTTTTTCTGTTACATCAAGAAGGTGCAACTGAATCCAGTGCCAACCCTTATGGTTGTTAGTAGATGCCACTTAACCAGTTATTTAGCATTTCTGTTGTATGGAAGGGACTAACCTCTGCAAAAGAAATTGATTTAGCATTTTAAATTGGATCGCATGAAACACGATACAGTGCTGAAAATACGGAACAATTGCCATGGTCTGATATAATTTGATTCTTATGAACTTGCATGGCTTACTGGTGTTGGCGCTGATAATTAAATGGCTTTTCAAAATGGTCATTGTTGACCTAATTCTATTGGCGGTGTAGTCAGTGGGAGTTTTAATACTGACTACAATGAGAACAGTTAGACGAACAGATTGCATTAGAAATCCCATGCTGTGTGTTTAATTTCACTTCCTGATACAACAATCTCTAAATATTAAAGAGTATTTTTGCCAAGATAGGAAAGCAGAACATAGTCATGACTGTCAGAAAGGAGAAAAGCTCTGTTCGGTATCCACTCAGTTATTAATGCAGTATAGCCAAGTCACAGGATGAGAAAGAATTTCTTTTTCTCTAAGCTTTAGGTTGCAACTTTGTCCATCTCTGGTTTCAGAGCCACCACTGCCACTCCATAATTTTTACATTGGTTAACTTTTTCTCTCAACAAGCAAACAGACAGTAGCAGAAAAATCTGAGGAGATTTGAGACTCTTACCCAGTTTATCCTAAACTTTTATCCTTTCTTATGCCCTATTAAGGTCCATAAATCTCCTGCATGTTTGGGAATTGCTTTCTTTTCCTGCTTCATTCTGTAGTGGTGGTAATGCTATTTTCCCCCTACCAACTCTTATTCTCCATATCGCTGTTTTGATTTGTCCTGCACTGGTATCTGAACAAATTATGAATAACATGAATTTTGAGCCAGACTCTTAAAGTTGTTTTGACCGTGTCTTGGTTCTTGCAGTTTTCCTCCTGAGACAAATTAGTCTGTTAATAATTATAGTATTAAGTCTCCCTTGTCACCTTACATGCTGATTACTTCTGATTCTTTCCCTGCGACTTGCTCAATGGATTGCTTAGTTCCTTCATTATTATTTTTTCACTGCAGATGCTTCTCTGGGCTGTTCATATTTGCTGGTGCACTTAAAACAAAGGGCATTGCAGGACACCTTTTTAGCCCTGTTACAGCACTTGCTGAGGCACATTTTCTTTTCATTTACTTTTATGAGGTTATTGAGTTGCTTTACAGAAAGACACACACACACTCCGAGGGATCTGCTTTTGCAGGTTATGTTAATTAAACTATCCACTGCAAATCATTAGCTAATGAGCCTGTAGGTAGTTGACACTAAATAGAAAGTAGAGCATCAGATCTTCACCAGTACTTTAGAGAACTTTGGAAACTTTTCATTTCTTGCCGAACGCTTCACGCTGGCACTGCAGTCGTGAGAACATCTGCTCTCCTCCCTCTGTCAGCAGGCTGTATGTGGGACAGAAATAACACAAAGTGCCACCCATCTTCACTGATCTGTAGGGGTTTTTTAAATCTTCCTTTTTAGAAGGTGCAGAAATAATCTTCAGCTGGCACCAGGGTAGAATCAGCTGCTCTAGCTTTTCAGCACTACACTCCTAAAACATTCTTGCATGGGGTTGAGCATGGGAGTTTAGATATAAATGACTCTGTAAATTAGTGATTCGGAGTAATGTTTAGTAATATTCCTCTTTAGCACAGACGAGTGTATCTTACACTTGCATTACAGTAAATAGGGGTTGTAGCATTCTCAAAGGATAGTTGCTGTTTCTCATTCCCAATTCTGCTGTTTGAGTTACAGGGCAGTGGCTGTTGGGGTGGGGTGTTTGGTTTTTTGTTGCATGTGTTTTTTCTTATTTTTTTTCTTTTTTGTGAGGGGATGTTAAAAATAGATTGTCTCTTGAATCAGTAGAGGCTGTGTCTGTCATGGTGAAAACTGAAGAAAAATCTAGTCTGTATTTTTTCCTTTTTGGCTTTTTGTATTGAGAGAGGGCTGTACGCACAGTGAATGGGACAGTACAGGAGTTCTCACATCCAAAACTCCCGTTGATTAGAAAATTTGTGCGCTATAATGTTTTTGAGGATGCTAAGAGCATTGGCTAGTGACACCTGGAAAAAACCTTGAACAATTGGCTGCTTTAGGTCTATTGATCTGGACTGTAGGAGACTTTACACGGGTTTTTTTATTTACTGGACTTAATTCCTCATTCCTTTTGAAACTTGCTGCAGTGATGCTCTTCAGCCGGAGAGTTCTGCAGGGTATGTAGTCCTCCAGTTGTTCTTGTTGACATTTGTCCCTTTCAGAAGCGTCTTCTAGTTCTAGTCCAAAGCAAATACAAACCCTGAAAACAGTTTTCCTACTCTTGTCCCAAGGCTGCATATCAGCATAATTTAAAAAACTGCTAGACAGACTTTAAATTTTCTTTTTTAATTGTCTCAGTGTCACTGGCTCTTACTGTGTGGCAAGATCTGGAACACGACCCTTCCTTTTCCCTTTGGCCTTTTTCTCTTTAGCAGGGGAAGTTGATGTGTCAGCACTCGAGGTTCGTGGGATTCCTTCTGTTATTGATCCACATCTTAACAGGCTGGAAGCCTCTGATGAAAGAAGAGCAGCAGCTTTTAAGTTGCTGGTTTCAAGAACCCTGCTGGGTTTGCCGAAACCTCAGGGTGAGGTGCGGCTTCGGCTGTGAACTGCAAATGCCGTGTCTGCAGTGGGAGGAGAAATGGAAGCTTTGAGCCTGGATTTAGTGTTGGTTTTTGTGAAATAGCTTGAAATGCTAATGAGCTTTGCAGAACAACCTCTGCTCTTGTGTTCCTGGTTCCTCGAGTGTGTGGGAAACAGCCACGTAATGGACTTTCTTCTCAGCCCACGTTTCTTGCTCACCGACTTTAAAAAGGCAAAACAAAAAAAAAATACATAAAATGCACAGCTTGCTGGAGTGGGTTAGGAAATGTGTTGCTAGTGCATTGCATAAGGAATATTTAGTTTCCTGGTGGTTCTAAGGGCTCTGCAAGTAATATTCTCCCCACAACTGCCTGGAAAGGAGACAAGTAGGGCTGCAATTACAGGTGGGGATCTGGAATCCAAGGAGAACAAACTTGCTACTTGTGTGAGGTCATGCAGAGAACAAATTTCTGACCAGAGAGTAAAGCACTGTGGAGGTCTGATTTGAAACTCCAGAGTCCCTGATGGAGTCTTGTTATTTTCCTTGCAGTTTTAGTACTGTATAATTACAGGTCCTCTTGTGACTTGTGAATGCAATATTTTGTTTGCTGGGAAGTCTGGAGGTCCTCCAGTTTGGCCTTCAGCTTGTTGTAGGGCAGCTGTTGCCAAAATCAGAATGGGTCAGCCATGGCGTTGTCCAGCTCCTGTCTTCCAAGGATGGCAGCTCCTGCATCCTCTCTGGGTAATTTGTTCAGTGGTGCACTGCCCTCCTGGGAAAGAAGATTTTCCTGTGTCTTCTGTAGAATAATAGATGCTAAACCCTTTCCCCTCATTTACCAAGGCCCAGACATTTATTGTGAAACGGAATGAGAGGTTTTTGAAGAGGTACAGTTTTGTCTGATACCACTGAACATTTCCGACTTCACTGGAAATGCTTGTGAAAGGTGGGATTATCTGAAGTTGTGATGACACTTAAACTGGACCTTCAGGGAAGGAGTGCAAAAGTATAGTCTGCAGGTTATGTGCTCTTCTGCCTGCACTTCTGGGAATAAAAAAGTGACTTAACAGATCTCTTTGGCTAACAAGGTTCTCATCAGGACGGTGGTGTGCTTGCTTTTGCTCTCCCAGTCCAAATTCTGAAGTTTCTCGTTCATTTGCTTGGGTGCTGACATTGATTCATTGACTCTCTGTGGTTGTGTTTGCTTTTGAGACATTGTCAAACAATGAAGGAAGTTGACATTAGGCTACCCATATGTAAAATTGTCCGGAGTCTTTGGTGCAGTAAGTTGTATGAATTTGGAGTGTTAGAAGCGTGTGACTTACGCAAGAGAAGCATTAAATCTCAGTGGCATACTTGAATGACTAGGTGACATTGTTGGGTTTATCTTTTCTTGGAGAATACTTTATTACATAGTATTTTTAATGTACAATTTTTTTTTTTTTCTCTTTTGCCGAAGGGACAATGGAGACCGATCCAGGCACCGAGCACCCCGGAATGCCCGCATGTCTGCACCATCCCTGGGGCGCTTTGTCCCAAGGTAAGACTTGAACGTGTCAGAGTATGAGGGTGTAGAAATCCTGGAGGTTCTGGTTGCAGTGCAGCTCTCTGGTGCTTTCAGATGGATACCTTTTCTTGCACAGGGCTGCTGTATTCTTGGTTTGAAATTTGTGGGATCCCTGGGATGGCATGTTAGTATAATAAGCTCACCCTGTGATATTTGAAGGGCAGTGTAGTCTTAGTGCTGCTTAGCTGCAGGTTGGGGCTAGAGTCTGAAGGCAGAACAGGAGCAGAAAAGTATCTGATCGGAGATTCGCAGCACGAAGTATTGGATCAAGAGTGGTTGGCTAAGCAGAGGAGTCCAGCATTCACTCTACTATGGTCTGTTGGAATATAGTCATGTTTTCTCAAAACGATTGCAGCTGCTGTCCAGGGCTGTATTATACTGGGATGTCTTTCTCCATGTAAGCTTACTCTCTTTGTTTTGCAGACGCTTCTTGCTGCCAGAGTACTTGCCTTATGCTGGGATTTTCCATGAGCGGGGACAGCCTGGCTTGGCCACCCATTCCTCTGTCAACAGGGTTTTGGCAGGTAATGAGATTTCCTTGTTTGCAGTAGTCTTGTGTATGCATGATACTTTTCTTGTGAATCTGAGCCGTGGTGGACTGATGAGGAAAAGGCTAATTCCAACTTTTGGGGTTCTATTTAAGCTGTCTGAAACAAGAGAAAGGACTGTTGGAGTGATGTGGTGAGCTGTCATTCAGGTGCTTGGGCATTGCAGATTCCACACTTATGTGTATGGGAGTCTCTGCATGAATTGGGGAGGGGTGCTGTTAACAATTTGCCCTTTGTTTAACTTCCTCCCCTATTCCTAGATGTCTTTTTCTTAACAGCCTGACAGACTAATGATCAGCTTGCAGCAGGTCCTTCTAATTGAATTATAGGGTGCCTTGTTCGTATTCCGGCTGGCAAGACGCACACAAGGCAGTGCGGGATTCAATTAGGACCTTAATAAGTGCATATTAAAAAACTCAGCTGCCACCACATACAGCACACAGGCATTTGGGAACTTTAAAGGGCAGGCGGAGGTGGGAAGTGAGGTGGGGGGAAGGAGTGTGGCACTCTGGCAGTTCATGAATGAGATGGTTACAGATGACACATCTCGAGGGTGGGTCTTTTTCACCCGGTCTGAGTTGCTCTGTAATTAACACCAGTGCGAGAGAGTCACCTTGGAGCTTGCGGGAGAATGAGGGATGATGTATGGACAGGTAGGTTGGGATTTGGGTCTCCTTCCTGCCTGTAGGCAATCACAGGATCACCGCTGAAAGGTTTCTCAAGAGGCTGTGTGACCCTTTTTCTTATCCTAAGGCACAATCAATTATGCCCAAACCATTTTGGACAGGCCTTACCTAATCTGATCTGAAGAGTCTTCACTGGAGTTTTCCCAACCATTCTGGGATGAAAATTGTTGGCTTTGCACGGCTTATTTAGTATGACAGCGGTCTTGTCTCTGACAGATTTCTGGCATCTTCTGGAATTTTGTTTCCCTAGACATTTTGGTTTGGGTGCATGGTTAACAGACCTTGCTGTTGCAGTAATAGTAAAAGCGCAGCCAAAGGCTACCTTCCAAAGGACCTCTGCTTTTTCTCCTTAGGAAAG